GGCTTCCAAGAAAAAGGTAAAACAAATGGCTAAAATCCTATACCCTTATTATGATATCGTGCATCCAAATTCATCAAGGGAGTAAACAAAGACGTGCATACCAAAGCAAGTTTTGGAAAAATCAACTAGTCATGACACACACAATCAAGGAAATGGAACATGATATCAATGTATGCTCATCGGCTCAAATCTCACAAAAAAAACAAGGTAAAACGAGGAAATGGAGCTGGACACCCATTTTTTTTTTCTTTTTTTTTGAAAGTACGACCAACAATCCATTTATCAAGTGAAAGAATGCACCACTACAACTTCATGCCTCCAATGAATATACCGTTTATGCAATAATAATGCAATTATGAATGAAAAGAAAAAAATGCATGTATGCAAAAACTCGTGTTACAACGATGATGCATCGTGGAAGTTGCAACACGATTCCTATTCTAATTCAAACAATGCAAAAACCGAGAGATTTCCTTAAATTAGAAAACCTCTCATAATCTAATGCCTTGGTGAACATATCGGCTAAATGATTCTCGGTCCCTATGTACTCAATGCAAAATATGTATTTCTCAACTAAATCCCAAATAAAGTGATGTCTTATATCTATGTGTTTTGTGCAAGAATGTTGAACCGGATTTTTTGAAATATCAATTGCACTCTTGCTATCACAATATACAGTTAAGAAATCACTATGTCGACTATAATCCTTAATCATTTGATTTATCCGTAAAAATAGACAACAAGAAACCTTTAATCTCATATCATGCAAAGACACCATATTATTCACAAGCATGCTCTCAAAAATGTCATTAAATCTATTGAAAACATTACACAATTTTCTTACCATGGGATAAAAAAGTCTACCATTTGTTACCTCACCAACGGATCGTGACAAAGGATGAGATCTAAGAATTACTCTTTCCCGATCAGTAGCATCTACATCAGATCGTATCTCAGCCTCGGAAGTGGTATTCTGGTTGGCGAAAATATGTGTCGCCTCAGATGCTGTGTCTGGTGTTGTGTCAGGTGTCATGACATCTGGGGCGACATCTGGGACGACATCTGGAGCAGCACTTCGTAGCGGAAGGTCCAACAAGTCCCGAATGTCATCCTCAGCATTTTTGACCCGATAACAATTTTGGGTAGTTCGTACACCTGTCAAAATACATGAATTAGACTCATCAAAAACTTCACAAGACTTACTATCAAATTATACATGGAGATTATCATCACAAAGTTGACTTATGCTAATCAAGTTAGCCTTAAGTCCATCAACCAAAAACACGTTTTGAAGCTTTGGGAGACCATCAACATTGAGTGTTCCCCTTCCTATGATCTTTCCATGTTCGCCTCCCCCGTATGTAACACGCCTGCTTTCATAAGGTTCTACATTGGACAAGAACTCACGAGTGCCGGTCATGTGACGTGAGCACCCACTATCAAAGTACCAAGATCCTGCAATGTTAGACTTCAAGGATGTATGAATTACATTGCATTTCAAATCAGATTTCGGAACCCAAACAAACTTTGATTTACTCTTAGTTCTAGTTTCGTGATTTACGGGCATATCACGAGACACGGGAGGTACCACTGGTTCAAAAGACCTATCAAATGCATGCAATTTATAACAATAAGGTCTAATGTGCCCGGGTGCATGACAATAATGACAAACATATCGACGCCTTCGTTGTTTAGTATTCTTAGAAACCTTAGGCGTGGATTTTGAGTCATACTTACCTGTTTCCTCTGAAGAACGTACAAATATGGTAGGCTTAAAACCAAGTCCCGCTTTGTTATTATTATGTTTAAGAGCAGCTAGGACATCCAAATGGCTCTTACCGGTGTTAAGTCGTTGGAAGGTCTGACGGGAGTATTCAAGTTCCTCTCTTACCTTCACCAACTTTTGGTCATGGCCAGAGATGGTCACCTCCAATTGGGTTATGGTAGACTTTAAAGCATCGTTCTCCTCTTCCAACTTCTTAGCCTCTGACTTCATCCTCTTATTCTCATCCTTTAACTTACTGTTCTCCTTCTCGAGCCTATCCGCATCGTAGACGGCATCTATATAACGTTTATGAAGTTCCACGTACACCTTTTCATGATCATCAAAGTTAACGAATTGAAGGCTGCTCGGAGGACCTATATCCCTGCCTTTAGCGTCACAGAACAAGGTGTTAAGACAAAAAAATTCAGAATTTTTATTTTCATACCTGTCGGGTGTCATGACACTTCGGGCGACACCTCGGCTGACACCTGCTGGATCAATTTGTTTGGGCTTGAATTCGCTCACACTGGTCACAAAGGCAGCATCCCCATCATTTTCAGCTTCACTTTCAGCGGAACCGGCATCAAATTCATCATCATCGCTCAAAGTGGCGTTGAAGTTCAAGCCCCTTTTGAGCAAGGTATTAGCACACTCATTTGCATAGTGCCCATACCCTTTGCAAGCATTGCATTGGACGGTCTCAAGTGACTTCGGGGTGAACTTTCTCCTATCGTTGAGTTTGGCCTTTTCACCGGTTGGATTCGATCGGTTCGAATGAGGTGGAGTGAATGACCTTGGCCCTCGAGACCTCGAGGCTTGGGAGTTGGTTTGAGAATTTCTTCTCTTTAGCAATGATGTGAAGCGTCTCGTCATGTGTGCAACTCCTTCTTCATCAAACTCATTTTCCTTCATATCACGAACTAGATTCTCCAAGTTATCATCATTCTCGGACATAGACTGAAGGGCGATCCCCTTCCCTTTTCCGAAAGGTGCACTCTTTTCTTCGAGATCTTGCACCTCAAGATTCATCTCGAACGTCTTCAGAGAGCCAACAAGATCATCAAATTTAATAGTCGTCACATCCTTCGAAACATCAAGCGCCGTGATCATCATGTTGAAGCGCTTTGGAAGAGATCTCATTACTTTTGCCATGAGCCTTTCATTAGAGATCGGGTCCCCAAGAGAGTGACATTCATTGACAATACTCATCAACTTGGCCGTGTATGACGAGATATTCTCGTTTTCGAGCATTCGTATTGTCTCAAATTTTGCCGCAAGAAGACGTAGCCTTGTTTGACAAACACTCCTCGAACCCTCACAATGGCGTTGCAAGGTGTCCCATGCATCTTTGGCAGTAGTGCACGTGCTAATCAAGCGAAACATGTTCTCATCGACTGTGCCAAAAATTGCATTGAGTGCCTTTGAATTGAAGTTGGCCAACGTGCTCTCACCCGTATTGTACTCTTCTTCATTTTTCTCGTGTTTCTCCCCTTCAATTTCTGTAGTAGGAGGCTCCCATCCGGAAAGTACAGATAACCAAGCCCGTCCATCAATGGATTTAATGTAGGACGTCATACGCATCTTCCAAATGGTGTAATTTGAGCCATCGAGAATCGGAGGCCGAAAAAGCGAAGTTCCGTTGAACTCCATGTGTACCTATCAAGACAGAATCACACTTATTAGAATAAGCGACCCTCTCTGATACCACTTGTTAGAATTTTAGGTACGTAAAAATCCAGATTTTCACACAAAGATCAGAAATTCAAATACGGAAATAAATAACACGAAAATTCAAAATTTAGCCTACAAGTGAAAATCACTTGTAGACTAAGGCAACATGCCAAAATTCCACTAGATCAATTTAATTATGAAGTCTTCTTTCAATCCAAAAATATCTAGTGAACTACTAAAAAAAAATTCGCGAGATAAAACTAGATGCTCTTAATCAAATCGAACTATAAAAGGCAAATAACAAAAATAATCTCAAGAGTGATATGAGATGCCCAAGTATAACGAGTGCTGCTCATTTCTTATTTGTTTGTCCCACGTTGAAGCTTCCCAGATCAAATAACAAAAGATGTGCTGCCTGGATTAAACCTCAAAAGCCTTGCTCCACTAATCCTTTATGATTTGTTTTTTTCTCAATTCGCACCATGTGCTGCTCTGCCCTTTTATCAACGCAGGCCTCTCAATCTTTTTCTGTTTCTTCTTTTCCAAGACAAATATCTTCCTCTCTTTTTTACTTCCTTTACCTAGTAGGAAACCTAATAAGATAAGAGAATTTTTTTACACAATAATATTTATTACACAATAATATATATATATACATATTAAAATAAATCAGAAAAGCAAAATAAAATAAATATCCAAAACTAAGTATTTAACAGTTCATGTGCCATAATTTAGCAGCATTGTCCTGTATGTGCCATATCATGTGCCATATTTTCGCAGCATTGTCTTGTGCCATATTTTCGCAGAGTTATTAAACCAATTGATGCTAAAAATATTAAAGAAAAGATTTTGTTTTTAAGGAAGGAAGAAATTGACTTTATAATATAATTTTTAAAGTAAATGTTGATTTCTTTTATTTTTTATTATATTATTATTTAATTATCCCATAAAGTTTCTCGACATGCTCTTCTCCTTCTCTACGTTTTAAGTATATTTCATTCTTAAGAAGAATTTCAGTTTTAAGTAAATTTCATTCTTAAGAAGAATTGCAGAATAAAACCTACTGAGTTATATTCTCTTTTGGTAGGCTAATTTATCAATTAATTTATTTGGCAAATTGAATTGTTGATTTTGCAATATTATTATAAAAAGAATAATAAATGTATGGCACATGTATTTTCGATAATTCATACATCATTCTAATAGTATACTATTAATTAAATTATTCAATTTGTAAATCATTATACATCATTGTAATTGTATACTCTTATAAATTCAATTCGTAAATTATTGTAGAAGCGTACAAATTACTCATTTGTTTCGATAATTCAATTTGTAAATAATTCTAGTATGTTATATACTGATTAACCCATTTATGTGCTTCCCCTATTATCAGATCAACTTCCAAAGTCCCAATTTTCAAATCATCCCCTTGTGCCGTAAAAGTCATTCTCTAACTGATGCATCTGCATATGCAAGCAATAGCATATATTGATTATATTCACTACACAAAAGATTGCCTAAACATATTAATTAAACAATCCATCCCGCTTCTGGAAAAAGAAAATTCCTAAAAAGCTATAATGTGAAGAGAAGAAGAATATTTATTAAAAAAAAAATCATTAGTCTTTATCTATTACTATATAATTTATTTATTTACTACCCAATCAGTCAAAGTCTTGTTTCAACGGTAAAAATAAAAACAGACGAATAAACAATAGAGTACAAATTTCAACAACTAATAATAACGCGTGCATGAGAACATTTCAAACAAAAACAAACCTTTCTAGCTATAAATCAAAGCTTTAGAAATATCACATTCACAAAGCTTCTTACATGTCCACATCATTAATATAAACAAGAAACTCTTGTATTTTTACATACA